TCACTCCCATCACGTCTGAAGCTTATTCCTTCACCCAAGGATAAAAAAACAACAACTTAGTCCTGAAATTAGATATCACAAACACATAATAATATGAAATGGTTATGGTTTAAGTCCTAACCAGAACTGCTCGAAGAAGACATTTGCTCTTCAATCGTTAATTTTGAAATCCCTAAATCTGTTCGTCGAGAGCTTGAAGATGCAGACAAAGACGAGGCTAAGAGAATTAGAGACAGCAAAAAATGACGTTGTTTACATAATTATTTAGCAAAAACTCAAACGACATTGTTTTGTACTCGAATGGAATGTGTTTTCGCGGTTTTTAGAATGACGCCGTCGTCAACGTGTCATCCACGTGGATTTGATTTTACGGAGACTTAACACTGTTATGGCTTTCGAAGGTTTTCACACAAAAAGTAAAGATCAGGTATGAGATTCAAACTAAAATGATGTTTGAGTAGGTTTTAGCACGGATGGTAAGTTTAGGTCTGAGTTTAACATTTCCTCAAAGTTAAGGTAGGAACTGGCCAAATCCTATTTCAAATGTAAATTACTAAATTCTAATATTTATATGTACGTTATTGTGGTTATTATATAGGGGATGTATATAAAGTTTAGTGGTCCCATTAGAATCTTTTCCCAACGTTTCAAGCAATGACGCGAACTAATCAAACATTATAAATGGAAATCTTATATTATTTATATTTATTTTTTGGTTAAGTCCTATATTTAATGAAAATTTTATCACTATAATTAATTAATTATAATATTAAGGACTATAATATAATATTTAGATACTTTTAAACATGGATGGTGGTGTTGATAATGTTGTTAATAAAAATTCGTAAGATAATTTTATAACTGACATGTTAAATATTAAACATTGGAAGTTATAATAATTAATTTTTCTGACGTAAACTATAGAAAAAAAAAACAAATTATATGGGAAGACGAGCATATTGAGACACTTGGAGCTCTCGAGACTGAATTGCCAAAATTTCAGAAAGAAGTTGGAAGAAAACGTATTTGTAATTGATTTTTTTTGAAACTGTTATAACTTATAAGTCTGCATTGGGATTGTTTCAAGAATAAATATGACACTTTGAGAAATAGGTACGACGTAAAAGAAGTTGGTGAATTTCACCGAACTGTCAGCATACCACAATACTGGTTTGATTGGTAGATTAACCACGAAAAGGTGTAATATTGTTTTCTGAAATTTAAATTAATTTATTATAACTAATAGTTATTGATGTTTACGTTATATCTTTTGTGATTGATTTTCGCAAGAAAAACAATATGCAAAACAAAATCCCACATATATAGTTTATGTGGTTTTTATTTGGCCATCAAGGCAGTATACCACAAGCTTTGTAGTCAACTTTTAATGTGCAAAGAATGTTGAACATGATGAGAGGGAACCAATTGATAAGTCTGTTTCAATAACCCATGATAATGATGGAGATGATTCAAACATTATTTCTACGAGTGATGCGCATCACAAATCATCTCACTTAGAAAATCTCCTCCAGTGTCGTCTATTGGTCTATCAAAACGGTCAAACAGAAAACAGTCACTTGTTATTCCATAACCAATGGCGTTTGAATTGGCGAAACCTTAAAAAAAATATTTGTAATAATTTTTGAGGATCAAACATTTAAATGCACGGTTTAGCATCCTAGTTAACGAATTAAAAAAAAAAATGTAACTGCTCGTGAATAACCACGCTAACATAGGTATTTGGACACGTAGTTGTCAATAATACAGTTATATAATGTTGAGACCATGATAATTTATTAATTTATCATGATATTAATTTATCTATAAATTAATAATTATTAATTTATAGAGAAAATTTACTTTTCGCATATAATTTTTTTTAAAATTATTTTGTATTAATGTTATATTTTAAAATTTTAACAAATCTCATGATATAAATTATGATTAAGAATCATAACTATCATAATAAAATAATTTTTAACACCATATTGGATTGTCCATGTAAAAATATACATGTTCATGAGGTTCTTGCACATATGACCTCAAAATTGAAGTCAAATGCAAATCTAACCTCTTTTTTCTCCCTCTTCAACAAATGCCATTTTCTCCCTACTATCTCCTCACAACCACATATATTCACGAAAATGCCATTATGTTTTCAATTTTTATTTTTTTCTGAAAAATACCAAAAATACACAACCATCCTAAAATATATCACTTATTTACGAAAATGTCATCTTCTTCAATTTTGCTAACCACCATTACCAACCAATTTTGAAGCTCTAAATGTTTGCCCAACCAATTTTGAAGCTCTAACTGCTCATTGTGTCGCTTATAACTTCATTTTACCTACAAATTTCTCTCCAATTTCATCTAAAAAACTCTTTCATGCTCATTTTCATAATTTTCAATTTCATAAATCATCTATTTTTGGAGATTCTTGCATAACAACGACTTAGCTAGTTTGCTATCGGTGCTATACAAAAGTCTGGGTATATGTCAAAGTTAATCGAGTTTAAATTGGAAGTATGTAAACATCTACTTCATTTTCTTTAACATTTAGCTCTGTTTCGCGAAAGCAGACTTCTTTTTCAGTCTGCTAGTCAACGCAAAGGTTAGATTTGCAATTGACTTTTTTCATATTTTTGTAAGCAGACAGACTTCTTGCGAATTGTCCTTTGTAAACAAAAAAAAATCATGTAGACTTCTTTTGCAGTCTGCGAGAAAAAGGTTAGTTTTGCATTTGACCAAAAAAATTGTCGATCTTTGACCTTTATAGCAGACTTCTTTAGAAGTCTGCTAATTCGTAGTTTGACTCGAAAGGTTATTTTTGCAATTGACCAAGATTTTGACCACTTTTGACTTTTATAGCAAACTTCTTTTGAAGTCTGCTACAAAAAAATAAATAGCAGACTTAGAGTCTGCTATTAATTTAATTAAGATTCGGTCAAATGCAAATTTGACCTACAAGCAGACTTCTAAAGAAGTCTGCGCATAGCAGACTTGCTTCGAAAGTCAATATTTTGGTCAATTGCAAAAATAACCTCGAGTAGACTTCTTTTGTAAAGTAGACTTCATAAGCAGACTTCTCTACTATAGCAGACTTCTTTTACTCGTTAGCAGACTTCTATTGCAAAAATAACTTTTGGTCAATTGGAAAAATAACTTTTTCTTCTCGCAGACTGCAAGAAGAAGTCTACTACGAAAAGTCAAATATTTGGTCAAATGCAAAAAATAACCTTTTTTCTAGAAAACTTCAACGTGAAATTTTCCCAGCGGACTTTGAACGGATGTCTGCATTTTTAAAAAATTTTAAAATGCAATTTTATAAAATATTTGTAATGTTTTTTATTAATTTTTTAAAATTGTAAATGCATTTTAGGTATGATTCTTGCACCTGTATGAGTTTGATGTGTTTATGTGTTATAAATATAAAGTTATGAATTTTCTTGATTTAAAAGGTAATTAGCACATCTAAGCAGATTTCTAAAAGAAATTTGTAGACGAAATCTGCTGTTACGTATTAGTACATCATAGCAGACTGCATATGAAGTTTGCCTAATTATTCTTCTTAAAAATTCCATTTTGAAATATTTGTTACTTGTAAAAATGATATTCTTGTTTTGACATGTTTATTTGTTTTTTGTGTTGCATCTGTATGAGTTTGACGTGGTTATGTATTATTTTTATAAAGTTATGAATTTTCTTGATTTGAAAGGTAATTAGCACATCTAAGCAGACTTATAAAGAAGTCTGTAAATGAAGTCTGCTGTTACCTATTAGCACCTCATAGCAGACTGCATAAGAAGTCTGCCTAATTATTATTTTTTTAAAATCATTTTTAAATATTTGTTACTTGTAAAAATATTTTTCTTGTTTTGACATGTTTATTTTTTTTTTATGTTGCATATTTATGAGTTTGACGTGGTTATGTGTTATAATTACAAAATAATGAATTTTCTTGTTTAATTTAGCTTTTAGCGGATTTCTGTAGACTTCTAAAGAAGTTTTAGAAGTCTACTTCATAATATGTGGTAAACGTCAAGTGATTGCTTGCTTATGCTTGTATCATATTTATGCAGATTGTTTCAAAGATTGTAAAGTTAGGTATTTATAAGTTCTGGTGTTAGAAATATCCATTGTTCGTTGTTAACTAGGAATTTTGTGTGTATAAACTCTTAATTTTATGTATCTGAGCTTTTCTTCTATTTGGCTATAAAATTTATTTTTTTCTGAATTTAGAACAATTTGTGGTTTTAGAACTGTTTCTACATTAATATATATGACTTCAAACATTTTGATGTAAACCATGTTTTTGTACATTGCTTCTTCTGTCTGTTTATAAGCTAACATTGTTGTACATATTGATATTCTGCTTCAAAATAAACAAGACATTCTGCATTAAATAGTATATTACCATAAACAAGATATCATACATATTGTATTATATGTTTTTCTTCTCATGGATTAAGAAATCCGTTCACCTAATTGAGTTTTTTTCAGCAAAAGCCAATCAAAGAAGTAATCTTATTTTCTATATTCAAAAATCAAATCTGAAGCTTAATCATAAGAACAAAACAATGCCTCTTGTAGCTTGTGTCACCTCTCTTTCTTAGTCTCCCTCTGCACTTTTTATGTCGCCTCGTCCCACCTGTAATTAATTTATATCATATTCAGGACTTAATTATATAAAATCAAACCACCAAATCTGTCCTGGTTTACTGGCAACATATGGTCATGGAGATGTTCAATCCTAATCAAGTAACCTGATCCGAAAAAACCAAAAGAAAACCAAACCATACCCTCATATGGTTAATATAAAATTCAGCTTTTACATATCTAAAAAGAACCGCAAAGGAATCTAAACCATACTAAACAGAAAATCATATGAATAACTTAATCTGAGATCAAACCAAGATACACAAAAGAGAAACCTGAGGATATAGTACGCTATATCTGTTAATCCCTAATATTATCTTCAATTTTCTTCATGTTTTTCTTTAGAGTTTGAGCAAAACAAGTGACCCTAACTTGGCAACACCGGGTCGAAGCGGAAGAAGCTTTTTCTCGATCAGAACCATGAAAAGCTCAGTTTTTTGCTTGTGAAGCCCAGCTATGAACACTTTCCTCTCTGCTTCTTCCTTGGGAGCTTTCTCTGGCCATCCAATCTTGTTAAAATACGCAGTCATCCTACAAACAAAACAAGCCATCTCAATGAAAAAAAAAAAAACTTGAACACTAAATCGTTGACTTCATGAACTCGAATTTGGTTGTTTAACCTCAATACCTTTCTTTTCCACCACCGATTTTTAGTAGCTCGCCGTACAAATCGACATCCCAGGTAACACCCAAATCTCTCTGCCAAATCACACCGAAACTCGTTGAAGGAGATCCTGTGACCGTCCTTCTCGATATCAACAAGCACTCCTCCGCAATCGAAGAGAAGAGCGGAGGGGAGAGTCGCCGGAGAAGACGAAGCAGAGCAGGTGATTCCGCCGGATCGAGATGCTATGGATTTCACCAGTTTTGCTCTAAAACCGTTTGAGTTCAATAACACCTTCGATTCCAACATATTCAACAGATCTGAAATCCCGTTGAAAACCAAAATCAGTCACAAATTTGAACAAAAAACGAGGAGACAGCAAATCTGAAGAAGAAAGAAAACAAACCAGGAAAAGCTAGCAGAGAAGCCATGAAAGAGAGAGCACAGCGCCGTTTTACAGAGAAGGAGTCGAGGGTTTCTAGTTTAGGGTAACAATTAGTATGTCTCATTTATATAATAGGTTAAAAAATATCCGGTTAGGTTAATTATTTTCGGTTTATGTACACATTTTAATTTTAATTCGGGTACGGTTTATGCAGACTTCTTAAATTAGTCTGTAACCCTAAATTAAAACCTATAATAAAGATATTTATCTTTGTTGGTTTAATTTGAATTGGTTATATTACTTTTAATTTATATACATCAACATTGTTTATATTTGTTTTATGAAAACAAATTTCAGCTTAAATTATTTTTTATATAATTTTTAAATTAAAATATAAAGTTTAAAAATAGAGTAGACTTCTTTTGTAGTCTGTAACCCTAAATTAGAATTATTCACTTTTGATGAACATGTCATAAGTTTAAAATTTATAAAAAAATCATGGCTGCTATCAATATTACTGATGATAAAATTAAAGATAATACTACAATACATTTAAAAACATTTAAATGTAAGAAAATCAATTATCACGTCAAAAAATCATCATAAATGTTGAATATATATAGTAAAAAAGCAATAAAAGCTAGTGATATAATAATTAGAGAGATAAGAACCAATGAGATTTTAAATTTAAGTAAAAACAAACACATTAGTCATATTTTAGAATATTGTATTTATATATATTTGCATAAATTTATATCATTATTAATTTATATTTTTGTTGGGATCATAAATTTATATTAGGGTTTCAAAAAAATTATTATCTTATTATTTTATCGAATTTGATGGATTTTTATATTGGCCCGACTTGAGACCAGCAAAATTTATTAATTTATAGTGATTATTAATTTATCGAATATTAATTTATAGAGGTTTTACTGTATAATGCTAATATAATGAGTGACAAAGGGGTTGCAATTGGACACTTATATTACATTTTGAGCATATGACGATATCATGTATAGCTGATATAACAAGTTTGTATTTAACACTATAGTTTCCAGCAAGTAAATTACATCAAATAGGTAAATCGCAAGCTTTGTTTATATCTCTAACGTGGTTCAGTTTCAACTTGAAACAATGTCGTTGCTCTTGAATAAAATCATCTGGCATGTCCTCCGTGGCTCCGTCACCGTACATATGGTGGTAATGATATCCCCTCTATAATTACTGGCATTGCCTTTAATACAACCAATTGGAGCACAAGACATAATTCTTGGACGGCTACATCCGCTGGGCAACGAAAATGTTCCCCATGGATACGTAAGGAAATCATCGAGATTTTCCACCAATCTCTGTGTGGTCCTTCAATAATTTTAACATGCAGATAGTACTTCCTAGGTAGCAACATACAATAAACGATCGCTAGGCAAGCATACCTCAGCATCGTTTGCATTTTGCAAACACATTGCCTATTTAGAAGTAAGATAACTATTTTCAACCGTTACATTCTCTTGAAGCCCTAAAAGTCTCCACTTGTCCTATGTCTTGTTGTTTCCGGGGTGCATTTTCTTCTCTTTTTAGTGCATTTATTGGATATTTTTCACATTGAAGGCCGATCACAGTGTTAAATTTCCAAAGAGAGAATATGATTGGAGTTCCTTCAAATTTGACTCATATCTTGTTCTCTTTTGTAATATCAACCTGTTTACAGAGTCAAAATATTCCAAAGCCTTTGGAACAGGCTGGTTTTGAGGAGATTTTCAGCAATTTATCAAAGAAAAATTAGCTGAAAAAATTCCAGTTCTTACTCTTCAAGAGCGTTTTGATGGTTTGAATAAAAAAAAAATCATTTTGGTATATGTTGATGCGCTTTTCTAGTAGAGCCTAAACGGCTGAAATCAGACACTGCAGAAAGTCTAAATCTTTCATTTGTGTTGGGGTTGGATTTCACCCTAATAAGTTTAACTGTCCAAAAACGAATAAGTATAAAATGAAGGATACTAGACTCATGTCCACTAAACAGACTCGAGCTGCAACATAAGTTGAGCCGAGCCGCGCCGCGACAACAAGCCCAATCAGGAAAAGTCGCACCGCGATAATGGGCTCAGTTGGGCTGATCCGCACTGCAACAACGGGCTCAATTGGGCCGAGTGCTGAAGTATAGTTTGGGCCGAGCCGTGAGAATGAGCAGATGGGCCGAGCTGAAAAAGAAAATGAAGGGTGAGCCACATTGCAAGACGTTTGGGCCGAGCCGAATGATATTCAACGTTTAGCAGACCTAGCCACGGAGGATAAAGCCCATGCAAAACCCTAAACGAGATGTTGATGCGGCGGCCGCACGAGACGATAAGATAAGAAAATATTTCAAAAATATTTTCTGAGATTTTCGGCTAGACGGTTTATAGATTCTGTATAAATAGTCGATACAGACAATTCATTATGTAACTTTTGCAACCTTAAGCAATAAGATTAACCATTTTTCAAAGCAAGTAAAAAAAATTTCGATCTTAATGTTTTTGTGATAAATTGTAGAAATTTTGGATCCTTTAAGTTTTCTTTAATAAATTTTTGTATATAAGTTTTGGCTCAAACATTTTTTTGAAACAAATTATTTTGATTACGAAAAAATTGGAAGAGGCTTTGGAATATTTTGACTTTGTAAATAGGAAGTAGGAACGGAAAAAGAAAAAACATTCAGTGATGGTCAATTCGTTTTTACATCTATTCCGACACAATTTTTTTAAGATGCCAAAAAGGAACGGAAAAAGAAATCTGTTTACCCCTAAGTTTTTTCGGTTAAATTTGTTTTTAATTTTGTTTACATCGATTCTGATATAACTTTTGTTTTCTAAAGATTGTAAAAAAGAATGAAAGAAGAAATCCGTTTACCTATAAATCTATTTGGTAAAATTTGTTTTAATTTTCTCGTTACCGAATTGATAGTGTAGGACTAAGAAAAACCTTTTGTGATGAATAATAACCAAAAAAACGAATTTTCCTTATCATTTTATCATCGGATATTACAGTTACTAAAATATTATATATATATATATATATGTTGTATACAAATAAATTTACTTTTCGTAAGATAATAATTTTTTAATGTATAAAAATGTTTGAGTATTTTATGCAAGGAATCATAATAATCAATGTTCAAAAAATCGCTAGACGATGGCTAAGAGGTGATAGGAGACTAGTGTATAGGCGGATTAGTCGGAGACTAAGCGGAGCCTAGGCGTTAGCAAAATTTTTGTTAATTTTTATAAATTTTTCTATTTATATATCATATTTTTTAAAAAAAAATAATTGTTTTCTTAAAAATTATTTTATCAAAATTTATGTTTGAATAAAAAAGTAAGGAAAATTAATAAATAAAATTATAAAATAAAATTCAACAAAGAAATCAAACTAAAAATCATCAAATTCAAATAAGTTTTAATCTAAAAACTTTAAAAATGTAAAGCAAAGAGAAATCTATTTAACTTATTCTTCAAACACATCTATATCCACCACCTGCTCATTTTCAGACTCAAATTTAAAATCAATAGCTATATCATTTTCATCGTCGGAATCGATATCTCCTCTAGACTCATCGTTAAAATTGAAAGTTGAAACTTGAAACAGAGCACAAACAAAATAAACAAAGATGAAAAAATAAATTAAGAGAATACAATATAGTTATATAATATATACAGATAGATAAAGAGAAGATTAAACAAACTTGTAGAGTTCAACAATAGAGAATAATAATCGCATCTTGTAGTTTATGAATATGAAGTAGTGAAGAGGAACAAGGATGATTATATTAAGTTATTAACCCTAATCCACGTTTCAATTTATTTTTCTCTTTTCTGTAAACCGATGTTGGTTTACTATCCAAAACCGTAAAAATTGACTGAAAAAAGGATAAAAATAATTAATCTGATTTTTGGCCGATTTTATCGATTTGATCCGATTTTTCTGATTTTCTCCAATTTGGTCCAATTTTTTATTAACCAGATTTACTTCACTAATTTTATGAAAATCAGGTCAGCTAATCCTGACTAGCCGTCTAGTCGCCGACTAGACCGATTTTTTGAACACTGTTAATAGTAGAGTGTACAATGCAACTAACTTTTCTATTTATTATTTATTGTCTTAAAAATATAAAATCCACAGTATCTTGTAACATTATCAAAAGAATTTTGTTGTGGGATATATAAGACCAGGTTTATCGGGAGTACTAAAGACCGATACTTACCATTTTTTGGTCCAAAAAAAAATTAAAAATCCAATAATAAAGAAGTATCGATGCCTAAACAAGCATTTTAAGTATCGATATTTGAGGGTGCTTTCTAGACACGTGGTGTCATCTGATTAGAAGAGAGAAGTGAGAAAATTTTTTGCCACGAGGGGTCAAGTTTCTGGACCCAAAAAATTTCTCGACCAAAAATACCTCTTCTCACATTTTTGCTCGACGAAATCGCCTTCAACATCGCCAACGTCTCTTCTCAGATTTCCGATGACGGAGCTACATGCCGGAGGCCGGAAGCTTTTCTGACAGCGGCGAGATAAGTCTTTATTGCTCTCCTTCAAATATCTTCTCTATTTCTGCGTCTAGGGTTTAATTGGGGATTTTTTTTGTAAAACCAAATTCATGAAATTAGTTGATCATCTGATCTCTGGTTGATGTGCTATGTAGTTTTAGGTATAAATTGTTGTCTATATCATAGTAGATGGATCAATTGGATGATATATTTCTTGGAAGTGATCTTTGATTTTGATCGGGTTTAGTGTTATTGATGGGTTCTTTGAATTTTATCTTTAACTGTTTCTTTTCTGCATCAATATTGTTAGACTGAAAAGGTTTTCATCGTTTTTGATTCCATTTTGTTTTGTGATCGGTTAGGTGTTCTTCATCTCTTTCAAATGTGTACAAATATTT